ACCCCATAGCACACCCATGTTTCTGCCTATAATATTGCTCCCCATATATGAAGTAGGTTGACTGCAGGCACAGTTTCAAGAGTTGACACAGTTGTTCTGTGGAAAGCGTGGTCCTGCTGCTCAGAGTGGTGTCTGATTTTAATTTTAAACTGACCACCTCTACTGCATCATCAACAGGAATGCACGTAAAGAGTGATGTGACATCAGAAGAGACCATTGTTTCATCAGTCTCCATGATGACATCCCTCACCTTATCCACAAAGTCCATGGTGTTCTGTATGTGGTGTTCTGAGCTGCCAACTAAAGGGATGAGTACAGACGCCAGATATTTGGAAACATTGTAAGTGGGTATGTTTACATGGACATAAGTAACCGGATCAAATGGCCGGTAGGAATAAAAGTGTGTCATGTAAACACTCCGTTCGGGTTATCTTTTGTGTATTCGGCGCAATCCGATATAATTTGTGATCAGAACGAAATGGGTGGTTTACGCCGATCCGAAACCCGATCGGTGTGCATGTAAACGCTTGATCTGTTCGTTTTTATCTGATGGTGAAAAAGTGACCTGACTGCGCATGTGCGACTTTGCCATTTCCGCCTGGCTAACGCTAATAATATTAGCATTTCAGGGAAGTAAAACTGGTCGGTGAGCGACACAACATTTCTACTAGAAAGTTTTAAAGAGCTCAAATGATTTCTATTACCTGTAGCTCAGTCAGGGAGTGCAATAACGTCTCCACCATCATTAAAACCTGTCGCGGGTCCATTTTGGGTGCTCAGGTTTGTTTACGTTCACCCGGAAGTAGAACTTCTTCTTCGGTCGTTTTTTTAAGAAGAGTTTACTACTCTGCGCATGTCAGTACTGCTGTTCAGAAGAAAGCCCGCTGCATGTAAACGCTCTTCATGAACAGATTGTGCCCATGTAAACAATACATTTGAATTATTCAAACAGAACACATTTCAATCCGGTCAAAGAATTCTGCGCATGTAAACATAGCTAGTGACAGAGTTAATCATGCTAACAATAGGTCTTAAAGGTACACCTTGTTCGTGGATTTTAGGTAAACCATACAGACTAGGTGTGGCCTCCCCTGGGTACAGTCTGTGGTACAGAATACGGTCAATAGCCTTGTCCTGCTCCAATTTTTTCAGGCAATCTATTAACTTCTTCTTGTAACCACTTCCTGGATCTCTTTTCAGAGGTTCATAAGTGGTTAAGTCACTAAGGAGTGTCATAACTTTCTCATGATAGTCTTTCTGGTTCAAAATCACTGTGCACCTTCCTTTGTCTGCTGGGAGAATGATGATGTTTTTGTCCTTGCTAAGAGTGGTGAGTGCATCCCTTTCCTCTCTACTGATGTTGGAAGGTGGTGGTTTGGCATTGCTGAGGCAGGCTGAAACTTTGATTCTGAGCTGTTCTGCTTCACCCTCTTTCTCTTGGCTTTTAAACCCCAAAATACATTACGGCAAAGACTGGTTCATCCCAAAGATCCAGTCCCCCGGCACAGAGTAATATTGTGTATGCTGTTCAGTGTCAGGAGGGCTGTGATCAGTCTTACATCGGGGA